AGTTCAATAAAATTTTGAATGTGAGTCAACAAATGAGATGACATGGCCTTTCACCCATGACCAGTCTCGAAAAGGTTAACTCACTGTTTACTGATGCACTCACTTTGGCACTTATATCATTCTGTTTTCTACTTGCTACACAAATTCTAGATTGATCAGTACATCATGATGATGATTAGCTTGCTCTAGCAAGTAAACATTTCAATTAGAATATTAAAATTACAACAATATATAATTAAGGAAATAAATATTCATTTAATAAGAGTATATCTCTAAGATTGCTGAGCATTAACTATGAGAGATAAAAATGCTAAATTATGGGGTTTGATCCCTGTGGTAGACACAGTACAGATAACCTGTTGTGTAGCTTTGTGCTTAACAACAAATATCCAGTATGGTAATTAAAAAAAAAGATAATCCTTGGCAGTGCAAAGTGATGTCTGTAGTAAAAACTAAAAATTTTTCTTCAGTAAAGCATAAAGAAAACATAAACTCAAGCAAATAAAAAGTAATAATAATCCATAATAAATGGGTCGAATAGGCATATGAAAGTTAAAAAAAAGAGACTCTTAAGATTTCTTTTTCTTTCTTATAATAATTACTTGATCTGTTTTTTTTGAATTATTTTTATTGAACCTTGAATAAACTTTCAAGATTTCTTTTTGCATTTATGCAGCAAAGAAAAATCAGTTATTTTATAATTAAAATATTTTTAAATCTGTAAAAACGTTAATTATATGATTTTGTAAAGTCTGTGCATCTGTTTGTTCAACATTACTCTTTAAGTGTAATATTGTATGTTTTTGAAAAAAATCATAATTTTTCTTGATACGTTACATGCAATATTTCAGAGAAAAATGTAACTTTTAAGAAACGAAAAGTGTCGTTGATATTTTGTATTTCATATTTTCACTTTGGTTAGGTTTATCTGATGGAGAATGAGTGAGTTAAAATTGAGTAAAAAGTTACTTAAAATTTGTATTCATAAGCAACTTTAGTATAATATTCATAATTCATTTTGTATTTCAAATATATTAATATTTCAGTTAGATAATTATTCTTGTTTTCTCTAATCTGTTGTACTTTAGTTGCGGCTGCTGTGTTTCAAGGTGGGATTATTGGCCTTGTGTCCCTTTTTCCCCCAGCATACATGCATGGTTTAGTAACAGGACAGGTAATCTTTAATATGATTTTTACAAAGAAATACCTTTTCAGATAATTCTTTTTCTGTCACCCATGCACTTAAAATAAGTGCAAATATTATACTTTTTTCAACTTTCATTGCTAATGCACCAAAGAAAAATGTCTAACAAATATTTATTTTGATATGTATTATTAATGTCCAAACAATAGTTCAGTAAAACATGTAAACAAGCACTTGTAAACTTCTTGTTCATTTTAACTACATTTCAGGAAATAAAGTACAATAGGCTCTATATATATGACGTTTTTATTGTAATACCAAATTTACAGTTCATGATTTTATGCATCCCCTGGTGGCTGAGCAATAAACCTGAGGGCTTATAATGCTAAAAATAGGGTTTTTATATTTACAGTGGACAAAAAATAAAGAAGAAGAAATCATTCTGTGCAGAAATTCAGTATTTCTGTGTTATAAAGTACAGTTGTTTATTCAAATATACACTTTGCCTGATGGTGTGTGTGTGTGTGTATTTGTAGCTTGTTATTTAATGTGTAATTTTTTAAAAATTCTTTTATATATCTTGTTTTCATGGTTTACTCTGGAAATATTTTTACTTCAGAGGTGTTCATAATTTCTGTTCTCCTTTATGTTTCATAATAGTGAAAAACTGTTTCCTTTAATTAGGCAGTAGGAGGTATATTTGCAGCCATAGCCCAGATCATAGCCTTAGCTGGACATATTGAGCCACTAGTTAGTGGTTTTGGATTTTTCTTGTGTGCAGTAATTGTACTTCTAATAACACTTTTTTCTTACCTTGGAGTACACAGAATGGTGAGTACTTTCTGCATTAGATAAAGTTTGATGTTTGCTTTGTAGTCACATAATAACTATCACTGTCTCAGTTTGTTTTTTTTCGTTTTTTTCTAGTTATGAAAGAATCTGTGAAAAATTAACATCTTTGAATAAATATCCTGAAATTCCTCTCTATCTCTACTAATTATAATCCATATAATTTCCCATTTATATTTTTTATATTTATGCTTTTTTTGTCAATATTTATTGCCACCTATGTTAAATACTTAAAATGTTAATTTCTGAGAATATACCACTACGCTTTGAATTTGTAATTGTTATTAACCCTCTCTCACAGCCGTATATGTGTGTGTGACGCTATACATAATAAGGTTTACTATAATTCTGAATTTACTCTATGTATCTTTGCAAAATTTGCTAAGCTTCTAGTAAACCTTACAAGTATGTTGTGCACAAAAAATTTGATATTTTTGATAAAGTATTTTTTATTAGTGGTTTGTCTCTGAATTTGGAAGTCTTTATTCAGTCAGCTAAAAGTATTTCTTTTCAACATACGGTTTTTATATTTCATATGCATAATGTATAGCACTTCCTAAATGAATATCAGAAGTTTCACATGATAGAACTTTGTTTTGTCATTTATTTTCATTATCTTAACACAAACTTTACAAAACTTATCAATGTACAGTGGAATGAAAGTTCAAAAAATATGAAGTAAGATTAGTAATACTATTTTTTCTCTGCAACTTATTACCTTTTTACATCTGTTTTTTATCTTATGGTTTTATTGCTGTACTATGGACCTCCTACTACATGTGAAAAGTACTAAATCACAACTTGTTTCTCTTAGAGCTAATGTAAAGACTATTATTGTGAGATGTCCTGTTACACCTACCCAAGCTAGTGTAATTTTAGATTTTATTTTACAGAAGTTTGTCAGGCTAAGCTTAGAAGTTTATAATATTTAAATTTCAGGTACTTTGTTAAAAATGTATAACAATAAATGAGAATATATCTAAAAAATAAGGCTTTGTTGAACTCACTATGTATTTGATGCAGTTTGCTCTTGTATTTAAATTCTTCCATTAGCTTCATTGAGTCTCATAAGTTTGGGTGTCCAAAAAATATTCAACTGTCTTTCAAAATATGCACTTTACACAAAAAACATATGTGTCACTAGAATAGAAAGTTCTAAAACTAGTATGATTTATTTGGCTTTCAAAGTAAGCTATAAACAGATTTAATAAATTCCATTAGATGTTCAGATAGAAATAAAATATTCACCTTCAAAGAAACTATGATACTGTTATTTTGTGGGCACCAAAATCAGTTAGCTGTAATGAGCCTTGTGTAGAGAATAATCTGCTCTTTCTGTTGGTTATAAACATGTCCATCAGTCATATAAAGTTAATTAGCAAAAAACTCTAAAACCTAAGAGAGAGAGAGGAGCTTCTACCAACAAATACAGAAGATAGGAGATTCAAACTTTAGATTCTTGTGTGTAATTATGTAGTTTGTGTTTCTACTTGGTTGGAAACTGCAGTACTTTCTTTCAGAAGTTTAAAAAATTCTGAAGTAAAGAAATTTGAGCTCAAATGCATCACATGTCACAGAAAAATGAAGATTGAGAATTTTTATATATTTCTTTTCGAAATTAATAAGTCAAACTTGACATTAAACTTGTTATAACATAGAATTTCATTTTGTTGGTGTATTACTTACGATATGTCTTTTCTTCTAGGAGTTTTTTGTATATCACACAGAATGTACAACAAGTAAGATAGCATTTTTTGTTTTACTTTCTATTAGAATGGTATTTAACATAAAAAGTAATCTGTATTAAACTTCTGTTAAAATCTGAAGTGATGGAATTCGTCATAAAAAGTACATTTGTGTAATATTATTAAAAGTGTTTCTAAAAAACAAAAAGACATTTTCACCATGAAATTAGAAGCCAAACTATTCCACTCCAAAATATTTTTGGTCCAGTTTGAGACTTTTGATGTATAATTTGACATACACTACATATAGACTTACAATAAAGAATTACACATCATTTTCAGTTTTATTTAGTGAATTTATTTTCTCATACTGTACCACTTATTTCATCTTCCATTTTTGTGTGTATTTGCAATCACATTTTTATGTGTGGCTACTTGTAACATTCATACAAATTGATGGTTACACTTAAATGTATAAGATTAACATAGAGAACTTTGTAGAAGTGTATAATAGTGTGTGTAGTAGTATTTGGATGCTCTTCTTTAACCATATCGCCACTTTACTGCGCATGACACAAGGTTTTAGTATCTCACATTCAAAATTTTATTAAACCACTTTTTGTTTATGTTATACCAATTAGAATAGCATAAAATATTAGCTAATAATCCATATTTTAATAATATACAAGTTTTAAGTTCTTAATTCTACAAGGCAATATTAAAAAAAATCCTGAATTTCCACTAGTGTGACCCACGTGATACGTTTTCTCTTAGCATGTCAGCATCTCTATTTTATCCACTAACCCTTGAAAAGGTACAAAATTAAACTTAAATTACTCTCTATAAAATTGTTATTGCTCAGACAAACCATAATTTTTATAGTCTTCAATT